TTCAACTAATTTTATTAAATTTCTGCTTTATGTGCTAAGCTTATAATAACTACAAATGCAAGTGTGTGTGTGTGTGTGTGTGTCTTTTTCATCAGACTCAAAATCCCATAAACCTATATAAGTACTGTCTGTTGTATGTCTATGTAACTACTTCACAGGGTGTGGATGGATCTTCATCAAAATTGGTATGGAGGTTCATATTGGCGTTTTTTACCATTACTTCGCCCCAATTAAAATTCAGTTTAGTGAATAAAATCTCAAACAAACATGACCATGATATACATCTTTTTGTCCATGTTTTAAACCAGACATTAAACACTGGCAACAAAATCTTACTGGCCACAGCTGTTCAGTTTTACACACACACAAGCCCCCCAGTGGCACAGCAGTATATCTACGGACTTACACTGCTAGAAACCGGGTTTCGATACCCGTGGTGGGCAGAGCATAGATAGCTCATTGTGTAGCTTTGTGCTTAACTTCAAACAAACAAACAAATACACACACACATATATATATAGATACGAAACACACACATATATATACATATATGACCTGACAGGGCGCTAGACTAGCAATGTGGAAGTCGCGAGACCGAATCCCATCATCGAACATGCTCGTCCTTTCAGCACTGGGGTCATTATAACGTACGGTAAATCCCACTATTAGTCTGTAAGTCGTAACCCAAGAGTTGGGGGCGGGTGGTGTTGACTAGTTGCCTTCCCTCTAGTTTATCACTTCAAAATTGGGGGTGGGGGCGGCTAGTACAAATAGTCCTCGAATAGCTTTGTAAGAGATTCAACAAATAATCAAATATATACATACGCAAAAAGTGTGTATTATTTACTGATATTTTGACAATGCTGCACATACTTCTCACATATTTAGATAATCGAATTCGATAAATTCAACTGTTTCACTTTATGCTCGGAATAGAAGAAACGAATGAGAAACGCCTTCAGTGGAGTTTTAAGTAGCCACGCCTCGTTATTTTCAGCTTTTAGTTACCGTCCCATTATCTTTAAGTGTTGCTCCAGGGTCGGCCCTACGTTAAGCCCTCCTCGTTGACCCCACCATCAATATTTTAACACATCTATCAGCGAATAACTGATTGCTATCTTCTTTTTTTCTCGTCTGTAAGCCTACTAGTCACGACAAACGTATTATTGAAAGTCTCTCTCTATTTCTTTCTCGCTCTTCTAGTCCTGTCGATCTGTTAGACATCATCGAGTTAATCAAACGGGTTCCCTTTCCTGATCCAGGAAACAGAAATCAACAGGAGTTGATTATAATAATGATAAAATAACACCAAAAAACATCATTCCAGCTACTAAACCTAGACTACAATAATTTAGGCGGGAAACGTGACTTCACAATAGCGTTTAAGAAGCCCTCCCCCCTTCCTGATTCACTTTATACTAAAGATGTCTGATAGTGTTAAAATTCTCAGAACCTGAATTCACAATAAAGTATACGAAACTGAGCAAAATAAAACGACTGTTTGAAAACAGGTTTGTTATACGTGTATATTTTTAGAATCTGATTTTGTTTTTCCGATATCCTGAGTACTTTATGCATATTGTTTAGTTCTTCTTGCTCATACAACGCGAAATGTGACACAAGAAATGTTAAGCAATTCCGTAGAACATTACAAAGAAAACGTAGCCCTGAGAAGTAAGGCATTGTAATTCTGTTCATCCCATCCGTTAAAAGCATTACTAGTAATTACTATTTTAATAGGATCACGCTGCGCAGTCTAGAAGAATGTAGGAAATACAATCCATCAAGCCAGTCGTAGCAATAGAAAAGACGGAGACAGGCTAAAGCTTACAATTAGTAGACCTGTTCATCGTGGTCAGTTCTGACTGCGACATATCTGACAGCGGGTTGTAAAAAGACAATTTCCCAGCCCACTCCTGGGTAACATTATCTTCCGATGATCTAATCAAGGAGGCTTGGATGAAGTCGTATGGACAAGTGTGTATGTGTGTGTGTGTAGTTGTGGATTTTTCCTAAGGGGCCAACAACTTAATTCATTCCAAATCGTCGTAAATTCAATAGCTTTATTTTGACGACTTCGGTTTGATCTATGTGGTTATCCACAAGTTATTAATACGGATAATCAGTTAACTGTCATCGTTATCAGACCTCCCGATAAACAGATTCCACATTCTGTGATAGCAAACACAGCTGAGAAAACTGGTCACTCTACACGGTCTAAAACAACCATGAATGTCAGACACAACTGACGCACCAGGGCAGTTTCTACGAATTATCAATACGGATAATCAGTTAACTGTCATCGTTATCAGACCTCCCGATAAACAGATAGCAAACACAGCTGCGAAAACTTGTCACTCTACACGGTCCAAAACAACCATGAATGTCAGACACAACTGACCCACCAGGGCAGTTTCTACGAATTATCAATACGGATAATCAGTTAACTGTCATCGTTATCAGACCTCCCGATAAACAGATAGCAAACACACTGACGCACCAGGGCAGTTTCTACGAAAGGCGATTAATTGCTGATTTTAAGTTTGGAAAAAAATTAGGGTTAAACAGAGTTAACCCATTTGGTTCAACCATATTACTCGGTCTTTGTTTGTTTGAAGTTAAGCACAAAGCTACATAATGAGCTATCTGTACTCTGCCCACCACGGGTATCGAAGCCCGGTTTCTAGCCACTGGGGGGGGGGGCTACTCGGTTTTAGTATTAGTCGTGTATTTGCAATCACCCTCACCTAGTCATCCGTAAGTGCTGAGTTGAGATGCTAAGCTGGTCTTAGCAATACGAAAGCTATTATTTTTTGTTTGTTTGTCTACACAATGGATAATCTGCGCTTAGTCCACCGCGAAGAATCGAACCCCGAATTTTGGCGTTGTAAATCCTTAAACTTACCGCTGGCCCACCGGGGGACAGCTTACTTTATATTTATAGCATTACTAGCAGACTACCAGGTGTCGCTCGATTAAAAATGTTGTTTTGATTGCTGTCAGGAGCAAAGAAGACGAGATTATGAGCAGACGAGCAAATGAAAGGTCGAAGAAGTTTTTAAATAGTTTTAACATATATAATTGATCATGGATAGAATGATTAGGAGAAATCCTCACACAGAGAAGAAACGTAAATAATAACACTCTTGATCACACACATTACCAAAAGGATCCAGCCTTTTCAATTTGAGACCAATTGGTCGTCTTGTTTGCCAAAAATTGCTATATGGATCACTTCGGTCTGTTTGCGGTCTCAAAACGGCCTCCAAGACCGCGACCACATAGCCCATGTTTCTTCCCGCACAAAGTTGTGTCTGTACTCCGAGTTTGGAGTTTGTAGAGATGTGGCCGTGCATAAGGAACAGACTCACACAGAGAAAGAGATTCACGCTTATATATATATATATATAGATAATTTACATGCGTAGGTCGTCGCGGGTAAACATTTTAAAACTTAATATTAATTCATGCGCGATTTAAAATATTAGAATTAGTTGAAAAAAAAACAAACACTGCCAATTGTTTTAAATAAAAATAATATCACACAACGACTTCAGTTAAAAAATTTACACCGTATTCAAATTTTTTTTCCTTTCGTCATTTGAGTTACAATCATCATATACAAACTTTAGCCATGTTGAAAACCCTATATTTTATTCCTTTTAACGAGAGTACAGAGTTTATTGTTTAAAAACCAAATGTTACTCTCGTTCACGGCTCCACTGTTTCAACTGAAAACAGGTTTTCACACACACTGCAACGAGATGCAAATCACACACTGATAAGACGTCCAAAACAAACATTTACAAATAGTCCCTAAGTGAGGATTCATAAGATACGATACAAGGACAAATAACTTAAAATAAGGAAATCATGCATCGCTATGGAGAGAAAAAAAAACTACCCTCTAGTCAAATATAAAGCACTTCCTTCCCCACGCAAGATACTTCACTTTTTAAAGTCCTTCCCTTCACAGGCAAGGTACCTACCATAAACTTCAGTATAGTATAAGTTGTATAGTCTTGCTCGTATTATAAGGTATGCTGTTGATTTGGATACTCTGCACTGAATAACCGACAAACCTGTATATCTGATTAGTACCTCCAGAGAAAATAAGTACATAAAACGTACTCATAAGTATTGTTGATGGATGTATTGTTTGTTTGTTTTAAGTTATGCACAAAGCTACACAATGGGCTATCTGTGCTCTGCCCACCACCGATATCGAAACCCGGTTTTTAGCGTTGTAAGTCCGCAGACATACCGCTATGCCACTGGGGGGGGGGGGGGGTGATGGGTGTAAAACGTACAACCTGTTATACCGCTATGTATACATATGTGTGTTCGTACGTACTGAACAAATACAACTGTTACCAAAGTGGATTATTACGTAGCCTGTTAGGAGAAATATTAAATTAACTACAGCATATTCCAACACTAACTTACCTTCACCTGCTTATCTTGTATTGTTTAAAATTAAGAAAATGGCGGCAATCCCATGCGCCATAGCTATGGTAGAAGACTAAACTTTCACGAACAGTGTAAAAAAATATATATAAAAAAATAGAGAGCAAAAGGGTGTCTATTTCATCTGGACGAAGAGGTCACTTTCAGTAACAGAAATAAATAGTTCAACGCAGAATTACTGGAAGATCTTCAAGTACATACCGATAATTATGAAATATGTCAACAAAGTAGAGAAAATGAGTTGAGGCCAAGAATTAAATTCGAATAATCGATTTAATATTTCAGCCACACAATGCTGGCAATAATTACTTGGCTTATTTTATTAACTACCATTATATATGCTCATAGCAACACTGGTAAAACACCACTGCCGTTTTTTCTTACGTTTGAAGTGATAAGGTAAAATATATTTTCACGTATTAACTAATCAATAAACGTAGTAATTAATGTTCTGTACTGTTTCTGAATGAAATTAAATAAACGTACTTTATTTTCATATATTTACGCCACCTAACGGTTGTTACTTGACTTACAGGAATAGCGTGCAACATCATTTCTGTGACGTTAATCTTCGGAACAGAGAGGGCTCTGCTGTCATCGACACTCCCGAAACTGGGGCCATGGTAATTTTGTGAAGAACAAGATACGTAGCTTTGAGCAGGCATACGATTGGTATTCGTCTGAAAACAAAACAGATTCGATATGATTACAATCTGATAAATATTGTGTCTTAAACATGAGAAAATAACTTGTTAAAATAGCACTATTTAAAGCTATTAGCATCGGACAATAAATCTGATATTCACCTTGCCATCTGATCCCGACGTTGAAGCTCGCCCACTGTCCAGACTGGAAGTACTGTTTCGTGACCCTCCTCCTGACGAAGACCCTCCACTGCTAGCCCCCGGACTCTCCCGGCCAGGACTCTGACACACATCAATTCCTTGATCCTCCAATGATGAGTGGGTGCCATGAAGAGGTTTGTTCTGTGTCATTAGAGGCGCTGTAGTAGACATGTGTAGGAGAAAGCCAATTCATCAAAACCATTCCGATAACGATTTATTAAAATACTCTTTGTCACCATAATACTAAATATTCATATAAAACCTCCGATTATATTGTACATTATGTAAAAGCGCGTGAAACGTACAACATACCATTCCCAAAGCCAATGGGGTGCACCCCCTCTGTGGGAGTACTTGGATGACTGCTGGGACGTGGATGTACAACTACTTGGGTATAGTGAGTCTGAAGAGGAAAGAAAAAAAGTATAATATTCAATTTCTTTCTGACGTTCAGGTGCCATTATTACCTTACATAAGCACATTAACTGAAACATTAACATTATTAACTGCGATCCTCGAAGTTACTGGTAAGGAATTATCAGTGCAAAGTTGTTACTTTGAAAATAGTTTGTAGTGCTGAACTGATAACTGAATACAATAGCAAGTCACCTGCTTTTAAATACAATATAATTAAAAACAGAAACAAGGACCACTGAAACATCATAATAACTCGTTTTTCCTATATTATTAGACGTCTATTGTTACTTACGTTCTACACAAGCTAGTTACATTAATGCGCCTCTCAAAACTCATACCTGAGAGTCACCAAAGCCACCATGTCGGGTAGGTGAGGGGACCGAGACTGGTGTAAGGAACACAGGAAACCTTCCATAATCAGCGGATTCTGTGAAAAACGTTGTAGTGTTATAGGGTAGTCAACTTAAGCGTAATGTTTGCACATATGACATATCCATAAAACTGCGTCATCAACAAATCGTAAACACGTCTGCTTTCAAATAGCGACTTTTCCGAAATTGTTTGTTTCAAGTGTTGTTGTTGTTGTTTTTGAGCAAAGCCACTCAAGGGCTACTAGAGGTACCCAACAGCATTCAACATCATGAAGCTCGGATACGTGCTAATCACTAAGCAACGCCAAACCCTTCAAAATCTTGCATTTCTATTCCCCGTACAACCTTAGAAACAAGCAAAGCAATATCACACTTCTCGAAGTTAACAACTGTTATCTTGTAAAATTAGATAAAGAAAAAATGTAATACTGTACATAAAAAGAAAAAAGTAAATATTAAAATACTATCAGAGTTAAAAATGATTTTCTCAAAACGTCCGTATTTATTAAGGTCTGTTCTTACCAGCAGTGAGCAAAAATGTAACCAAGTCTGTTTATTAATACAGTAAAATAACCTAAAAACAAAACAATGTTTACTGTCATTTTCACACACGTAGCTCAAAGCTAATAATCATAAAACAATGTTTAATATTATTTTCACACACGTTACTCAAAGCTAATAATCATAAAACAAGCAATGTTTAATATTATTTTCACACTCGTTACTCAAAGCTAACAATCATAAAACAAAACAATGTTTAATATTATTTTCACACATGTAGCTCAAAGCTAACAATCATAAAACAAAACAATGTTTATTGTTATTTTCACGCACGTAGCTCAAAGCTAACAATCATAAAACAAAACAATGTTTACCGTTATTTTCACACACGTAGCTCAAAGCTAACAATCATAAAACAAAACAATGTTTAATATTATTTTCACACACAATGCTCAAAGCTAACAATCATAAAACAAAACTATGTTTAATATTATTTTCACACACAATGCTCAAAGCTAACAATCATAAAACAAAACGATGTTTAATATTATTTTCACACACGTTGCTCAAAGCTAACAATCATAAAACAAAACTATGTTTATTATGATGTACACACACACGCAACCATTATCAGGTCTGATACATAAACATCGTAACTTAACTTGTTCATAACTTAAGAACTAAAAAAAAGACAATCGGCTTTAAGAATATTTACAATAAAAACATGATTAATAATGTGTAATTTTAGTATGATTTTTCTAAGCATTTTTATATCACGACATATTTTACTCAATATAAAAAATCTTTATCAAAGATTGTTATTTTGTCGGAAAGCAAACAATGAAGCCAGTAGGAAAGAAACATGTATTATTAATTTCTCTGAGTGCTTAGAAAATTTTTGGAAGAAAAAAATATTAAAGTTTTTAGTCAAACATAAAATCTTTCCGGTACAGGGAATTAACTCCACATAGGTAGTCATCCAAATATTTTACTGGCTGTGAATGGTTAATATTGGACTCAGCTTTAAAAATGGTTTAAAGCGATTTTTTCTTTTCTTTTGAGCTTTGGTTGGGGATATGATATTGAATAAAATGACAAAGGTAGCAACTTAAACAAAAATCATAGGACGTGCTTATGAACTCGTTCAAAAAAAAAAATCATAGGATGTGCTTACGAACTCATTAGTCATTTTACCTTTATTAGGGGATCGCGGAGCTGAGGGAAAAGAATCATCGGTACTGACACTGCAGCAAGAACTTCTGTCTGCTGTAGTACTTCCATAACCGCTAGAAAAACTACTTCCTGAGTGTCTGTTGTTGAGATCTGGCACCACAGGGGGCGTCACCTTTTTGATGGAGCTTCCTTTTAGGGTTCCAGTGCGATGCATTCCTCCAACTGCGGGTAAAACCTTATTTTAGCATTTGGTGATTTATAAAACTGAATTAACCAAAAAAAAAAAACTATCAGATGCTGAAAGAAACGTTAGACAAATAATAAAAACGGAAACAACTCATTAGGCTCCACTTGTGTGTTCTTGCTTTAATGATCAAGCACATCATAAAATGTTCATGGTATTTGGAAAAATATTCATATCTAAATCTCCAGACAGCTTCAACTAACATAAGATAAACTAGCTCGCAAAACATTTGCGGGAGTTTTCGCGCCCTTCGCTTGAATTTTCCTTATTCTATCATTTTCACGCACGCCATTAAGCTACGCTTTCTTGTAAGCATTGTGTGTTAGATCGATAAATCCTGGTCTATTTGAAAAAAAAAAAAAAATTACGCGGTCAGACAAACAAACTCGCGTAGACGTAACATTATTTCTTAAAACTACACGTAAAGTAAACAATAAGGCATTTATAATGTACAGAGTATGAAACAGTTATGAGCGTTCAGTGTATAACATGGTTTTACGAGTTCAAAAAAAGAAACTCACAAAAACGAAGAATAAAACCCGTTGTATAAAAAAAGTAGCTTAAAGGTGTTTATAGCAATCTATGAAAAGAACCAAAACTAAATTATTGCAAAGTAAAGTAAAGTTGTAATGAAGGCAAACTTAGCTGAATATGCAAAAACGTCTGAATGCGAATTCACAAAATGATAGGCACATGATTTTGTACGAACTGTGCATGCAGATTGTAGATCTAAATAAGTCGAAAAAGCCCATATGAATTGTATTTAGTGTAATGTTAATTTTGTTTTATGAAATTATACACGGGTTAAGTGTTGTTAGTGTTAGTGTTGCAAATAAAGAAAGTTGAAATCGAAGTCAGTCGTCACGTGATAACAACGACATTGTACTATCGTGTACCATACTCGATGCATTAAAAAGTTTGCCTAAGCAAAAACAAGGTACGGTGATTCTGAATGGAAAAGCTAATATGCAATCCGGACTCCTTGGACAAAGCCTTTCTAACAATATGCGAATTGTAGCGTTTGAACGAGGAATTTACAAAAAAAAAGTTCCGGACAGACAAAAGCAAGCTTGTTATTTATACAGATAGCATCCGTTTTTAAAGAGGTTTCTGCTGCAAGCGCTCTCTGACAAAATTTATGCATTAACATTTAAAGAGAGTGTTTTATTTGAAAGTTAACTGCACCGTGGATCTTAAACTCTATCATTAATAATAATTTACTTCTGTTTCCAATGTTTATCAATAGAGGCCTCACGGTAAATTTACGGACTAAAATCTGTAGTTCGGTTCCCCGTTCATTCTGTAGCTTTGGCTGAAAAAATAAAAATTACCACGTTTGTTATCTTAGTAACTTCCAAATGTATTTTGACAGTAAACAACAGAGAGGGCGTTTCGTAATTCTATGTTAAGAATTTACAAAACTAATTCGCAACTCCAAGACTGAATTTCTATAGGTATTTAAATGAATTAAAATAGGCAAAAGAATTTTTCTGAAAATTATTGGCCAGTCTCGTCCTGTAATGTTAAATAATTCTTAGGCTTTAACTTTTAGATATTACATTAATGCACATAGCAAGGAACCGGGCAACTTGGCTGGTGTACTAGTGGTGATTAGTGACGTTTCGATCAACTCACTGCGTGTTACAGTCCTGACGAAAGTAAATGAAAATGGCCGGAACGAAACGTAGTCTAATCCCATTTCGCTACGCAGGTTGTCTACTTTAAGAATACTTTCAACTGTATTTACTTAGTTAACACTGTGTTAGTTATTACTTAAATAGGAAATGATTAGATACAATAAAACATATGTATTATATATACATTTTAGTATAATTAATGCTACCAAATCGTATCACTCTGCGTAGAATATTGTATGTAATCGAAATGAATCTTATATAACCACTGAAAATAGCTTGACATTATACCAACGATGGGGAGATTAATTAAGATATCCCAACGAATATCCAAGACTTTGTGAACACATATTCAGACGTTTCTGCATATTCAGCTAAGTTTGCTTTCATTACAGCTTAACATTTACTTTACTTTGCAGTAATTTAGCTTTATTTCTTTCATAGACTGCTATAAACACCTGCAACTTGAAATATACATAATTTAGACCTAATTTCAAACAACACAATTATACCTTTACATTTTTCAAAAACATATATATATATATATATGTATATATATATATATTAGGATTGTTTGATAAATTACGCTTGGTGTAGCTAAGATAATTTAGTGTTACATTATTAAAGGGCGGAACATGGCAAGGTCAAAGGTTTGAGCCGCGATATGCTGTTGAATATGGCTGGACACCTTATGCTGTGGGAGCGTTATAGCTGTAATAGTCAAGCCCACTTATCGGTTACAAGTAGACAGGTAGGCGGTAGTTGTTGCTGACTGGTAACCTCTCTCTCTCATCAAAAGTTCTAAGTTAGGAATGGCTATGCTTGAATGTGGTCGTTCAGGTTAAAAATGACAATATCACAAACTTAAGAGCAACACGACGAATAGTTCATGCACAAAACAAAGTTGGTAATTTTTTTCAGACAACTTTTATTATAACGTAATTTTTCTCGTTCACACTAACTATAATGAGATCATATACAATGAAATTAGTTCCACCAATACCACACTCCACCCAAGGCAAAACCAGTACATAGATGTTACTTTACAACAGTGGTTATTTTTAGTGCCACATTATATATATATATATCAAGTATTTAACTAAAATATTGATTAGATAAGATTTGTACTAGAATTACATTAGCTGACTTATTATTTTCAGCAAGGATATTAGGTGGATCTCGACTATGCAAAATTTGTTCATTTTACTTTTGGGGCGGGCGTGGCCGATTAGTTAACATATCGAGGCTGTGAATCTCGTCCTTTTGCGGCAAAAACGAGCTGAGGGAGCCTTATAACAGTGGTGGTCAAATCCCACTATTAGGTCAGATGAGAGTAGCCCAAGAGTTGTTAGTGGGGGGTCATTGAATAGCTACCTTCATTCTCTGGTTTATTTATTTTACATTATGGATAGCTATACGCAGATAACTATCGTGTAGTTTTCTGTACGAAATAAACAAACAAACACTTTACCATTTTTCTTAATTTTCTATAGAAAATGCGACATGAAAATGTGATTTTTACTTGAGTGGCTGAATGACCAGGTTACAGACCCTCTCGAGTTCAGGTATGGTCGTTTTGAACTACTAACCACAAAGGAGACAGCCAGCCAGCAGAATCTATCACCACAAAGACTTAGTCCGGTTCATTAAACCGAATAATTAGATTGACTGTCACTTCGCTCCTCCGGTGGCTCAGCGCTAAGCCTGAGGATTTATAATGCAAAAACTCGGGTTTCCATACTCTTCGGTGGGCAAAGCACAGATAACCCATTATGTAAATTTGAACTAAACAAAGAAACCCAACAGCTGTCACGTTTATTACACGCCCACATCTGAAAGTGTAGAGGGTATTTAGAGGAATTACGCAGCCCAACACAATAGCCCACTATGCACCTGTAATGCACACAGACATCGGGTGATACTCGCAACAATTTCAGAGTTAAGTACTAATATAAAACTTCATTCAGTCCGTAGATAAAGATACGGTTCGTTGATTTCTGAACAAGTGCTACGTATAGTCTCAGAGTAGAATGTTAATAACTGGCTGAAACTAATAAGATGGTATCTTAATAGAGATTCCCGAGTAAGACGCGCGCGTACACGAGAGAATTCTCCTGTTACCTAACAGTGTAAAGGTCTATCATACCCTAATAAGCATTTTAAGTGTAACCACCTTATACGTATGCCAGTGCATGCCCAGACGTCTAATATAGTAGATTCGTGAGAGCCCTTGTCTGATAAATAACTGTATAGGTGGCGACGCTTGTAACCAACCTATTTTTTAAGAGAGCTATCGAAGTGACATCTGTATACGAATTCTTCATGAACTTTCATCTTTCTTAACATCGACAAAGCCAGAAACATTTTATGATATTTTGGGAACCAGTACGCTATTCTGAATATATTAGAAATCATTCTTTGACCAATCATGCTAGGAATGACGGTTTAGTATATTTAACTCTAGAATTATCGACGGGAGTCCACGTGGACTCCATTGGTTTTTAAACACATCTTTCTAAACTTTATGTTTCAAACTGCTTGCCGATCCTCGACTTTCTTCGTTACAGAGTCCCTAATTACAAACGTCAATACTGTAATTAATCCCACTAATTACTGTTGGTATATATATTTTAATTAAAAATAAGTGGTTTAATCCATTTTCGTCCGCCACTTCTTTTACATGTAACTCAAAAGAGTTTCACTTGTCTGAGCACTTATTAGTTTATAAAGTAACCCCCCCCCCCGGATGTTCAGCGGCAAGTCTGAGAGCTTATACCGCTGAAAACTGGGTTTCGACCCCTGCGGTGGGCAGACCACAAATAGTGCACTGTGTAGCTTTGTGCTTAACAACAAACGAACAAGAGTTTATAAAGTAC